TTTTTTTTTTTTTTTTTTTTTTTTTTTTTCACTACAGAACAAATACTACCGCATCGACAGCTTAACGAGCACGGATGCTCCGCAAATCGAGGAGTAGCCAAATGGGCACAAGTGCACAGGCTGTAAGACGCAAATCCCCCGCCCCCCTTATCAAATTAACACACCGCGTCGTTGTTCCTTTGTTTAGTTTTTAAATTTTTTTTAATTGTTTCTAACATTTTAGCGCGCGTGCCGCACAGCGCGTTGTTTTTTTTTCGTTTGTCATTGGCGGCTTCATCACCGCGAATTTGCCAATTTGCTTCTTCCCCATTTTGTCACTGTCAGTTTAATTTTTGTTTGATTCTTTTTCTTTTTTTCTGACTCTGTGTCTATTCCTTTACAACGTTAAAAAAAAAAAAAAAAGCAAAACAAAAAAAAAACTCGAAAAAAATTATCAATCACGGAACACTACTAAACAGTACCAGGGAAAAAAAAAAAAGAACAAAGCGGCAAAAAGTTACATACAAGGAGGCTCTGCACAGGACGATTCGGTGTAGCGGACAATACAAGTACTCGTCTTTTTTTTTTTTTTTTTTTTTTCTCAATACATCATTTGCTGGTGGGAAGAGAAAAATTGCGTGTGCTGTTAACCACCGGATCACCCACATGGGGATATCCCACATCGCTCGGGTGCTTAAAGAGAATGTGTATCCCGACGCGCTTCTCACAAGAACGGCTACTACATTATATTATACACCTTCTTCAGTTACACATATTTGAGAACCATATTGTTGGTAGAGTAGTAAAAAAAAAAAAACGCAACGCTGCCGCATTTAGGGTTGGCTAAACGGACCTTTTGCACACCTACTCAATCAGGGGGACATATGCCTCCATGATGTTGTTGGTTTTCTTTAAACCCAATTCGTCCGTCTCAATTCTCATGAATCCATTTTCACCCCAGCTCTCACCCCATGAATTCTTAATAATGTAGTAGTAGTGTTTCACATTAGCATTTAATTCGCTGTTGAAAATTTCTTCCATACCATAACCAACAATCATAACCTCGTGGTTGGGTTCTTCCATGCACTCAGATGTAAAGATTCCCTCCTTGTAAGTGTAGAAGTCGTCATTGACACTGACCTCCAAGGTCAAAGGTCCAACGAACTGAATAGCCTCTTTATATTTGTCCTCTGGAATTTTAACATAACTTTTGATGGTATACTTGTCCTTGCATTTCCTAATTTCACATTTACGTGATTTGAATCCAAGGTAGGGGTATTCACTCTCCGAGCACAGGTACCCTAAATCGATCACGTCTTCAAAGGCGAAAGCAGTTACGCCACCATAGCAACCAAAGTTCTTATTAGAGCAGTCGACCAATTCTTGCTCACTTATCAATATGTGCTGATTTTTTCGAATGGCGTACTGGGACTCTATAGATCCTGCAGCTCCAAAGGCCCAACATGAGCCACATAAGTCTTGGTTTTTTATTTCGCTCACTGCGTTATGTTCTCTCCAATCATACTTCTCCATGTCCACCACAGCATCTGCTGGTTTGTATTTGTTTATCGCATCGTCGTAGTTACTCGCGTGGTGTAAAGTGGGGCTTTTTTTAGTCAAGCCAAATCGCAAAGTCAGCATGCTCTTTCGGAACTCTTCAAAGCTTATGTCACTGTATTGGTTTGTGCCCTTCTTGTACAACACATTCTCCTTACTGTTGTGTGCCTTAATCTTGGCCAAATTTTCTGCAAAAGCGAGGTATCTTTGTTGCATCTCCTCTGGCGTCTTGTATTCCTTTCCGTGCTCCTTAATGAAGAGGTAAAACGAATTGACATTCTCCAAATTGGTCATCAAAAATCTGGAGTCGGCAAAGTTGATGTTCACATTTTTAGGCACTTTAAAATTTCCATGCTTCTGTTGGTTATATGTAGCAACGGAGCTGCTTTTCTCTTCAGTGGATTCCCCTCTTGCTTTATTCAAGTTAGTATTTTCATCATATGAAGATATTAATTCTTTTAATTTGGACACAATGAATTTTTTTCCACCTGGGCTTTTCAATAAACTAGTGATAATAAAGTCATCACTGTTGCTAACTCCATATGTGGTATTGTCCTGGGGTTCATCATTGGTGTTCTTGTCCATGCGTGTAAAATAAAATGCAGATCCAGCTAACAGGCATATAACTGATACGGATAAGATGAAGAACAGTCTTTTCCTTCCTTTTCCATTTGTTTCCTTAAATGAGTTTTGTACAAAAAGTTCCTTTTCTGGTTTATGTGACTTGTCGTTCGAGTA